ATTTGACATAATTTTTGAGAAAAGCAAATAGCTTCTATGAGAAGCCACAATAATATTGCTATTACCTAGGAGAGTCCACTTGCCTGCATTTTTATTTAGATTCTAATCAATTATTCTAGAACAAATGAAAAAGAAGTAGAAATTTCATTAACACATACAAATAAGTATATGATTCCAATTCCAAAGAAATCATTTTATTTCATGTGAAGAAATTTACTGTCGTCGAAATTTGAAGTTGATTAGGCTCTCATCATTTCTCGGTCAAAGGTATATTTTTTTGAACTCTATTTCTTTGAACTCTCATTTTTTTTTTGATAAGTTGTATTTAGTAGTTGTTGTTATATATGTTCAAATCTCATTTTTTTGATAAGGTATTTTTCACTTCAATAGATGAAATTATCCAAACACTAAGTAGATATTTGTTGTACATTCATCTTAAATAATTTAATTAGTTAATATACTTCTGTATTTAGAATATCATTTATGGTGGAATAAATTCTTGCAAAAATGGTAGTTGAAGTTGAAGGAGATGATAATGCATGAAATCCCGTCATTTCATTCTCGACATTTTATAAATGTCGATAATGATAATATAAATATCGTTCTCGACATTTATAAACGTCGAGAATGATATTTATACTATCATTCTTGACATTGTCAAATGTTGACAATGACATTAAAAACTTGACTAAGTTGGGGAAATTTCGTGTATAGCGTTTCACATATTACATGCAGGTAGCATCTTCGTTTTCAATTTTTGTTAGTGGCTGACATTATTGTTGTTTATGGCATGCAGATATGAGAGATGTTAAGAGATTTGTTGTCTCGCATGGTAGTAGATTCGTCAACATGGATGACGGGTGGAAGTGGTTAGGGAATCGAACAACATCAATTGTTGTTCGATATGATATCACATATGAAGAGCTTGTATATAAATTAGACGAGAAGTTGAATGTTGATAGAATGAAGTTCTGAATTCAATTGAAATTTATAGTTTCGAACATGAATATACCCCCTGATGATGTAGCCAACGATGAGGATTTGCAATGGTTTATGTCTATTCACACAGAAGCGGCGTTGTGTGTAATTGCAAATTAATATAATGCTGGAGAGCACGAATTGCATGTCGGAGTTAAGCCTTTCTTACTAATAGAAGATACATTGTGTAGATGCAACGAAGTCGGTATGTGCGAACTACAAGAGCCACGAACGATTGATAATACAGATGAATATTTAGGTGAAGGGAATTTGTTTATTCGAAATGCAATTCACTCGATTGATGAAGAGGACATTGTGGAGAATCAGATATTCTTTAGCAAGCAACAAATATACATAAGGCTTCAACTTAAGGCTTTGAAAGAGAAGCTTCATTTCAAGGTTAATAAGTCAAATCCTAGATCTCTTACTGTGTGTTGTGTTGATACTACATGTCATTGGCTAGTGCAAGCTTCTAAGATAAAAACTTCAGAAATATTTAATATTTGAGAGTACATATCTGAGCACACATGTTCTCAAGACGTTCGACGAAATGCACAAATTCACACAACGAGTGCAATAATTGGGCATCACATAATGCGAAGGTTGGACAATGCAAACCAATCATACGTTCCTATGGGTATTATTGGGGATATGGAACGTGAGTTTGGTGTACGAATTACCTACAACAAAGTGTGGAAGGCTAAAGAGAAAGGACTTCTATTTTTTTCGTGGTACACTTGAAGAAATTTTTCAGAAATTGCCATCATACTGTCACATGTTAACCGAGAAAAATCCAGGAACTATTACACAAATTGAACTCGACTCAAATAATAGGTTCTTGTACTTCTTCTTAGCGTTCGGGCCAAGTATACGTGGTTTTCGAAAGTACATGAGTCCAGTAATTTGTGTTGATGGAAGTCATTTGAAGGGCCAGTACAAGAGAACACTACCAGTCGTGGGTGGAACCATGTGAGGACGAGTGCAGGCATATGCCCGCACTAAATTTTAGGCCCATAACAATTTTTTTTTTTTAAGTAATATCCCATGATTTTGCTTGATTTTAGGTATAGGTTGATTTGGACTTCACTTGTCAAAATATGAAAACTTGCAAGGAACAAGTTTAATTATAAACTGTCATTTTTAGTTTTTTTTTTTTATAGTTTTATCATCATTAAATTTATGACCAAAATTCAATGTTCGACGTGTGTTAAATTATGCCTGCACTGAACAAATTTCCTGGCTCCGCCCCTGCTACCAGTAGCTGCAGTGCAAGATGCTAACCTACAAATATATCCTCTTACTTGGGGTGTTGTCGATGGGAAAATAAATGTATCGTGGCATTGGTTCTTCACGAAGTTGAAAGATGTCGTTGATGATTCAAACCAGCTAGTGTTTGTGATGGACAAGAAGAAGAGTATGAAGCGGGCAATTACGACATTGTTCCCGCTTTCTCACCTCAATTCCTGCACCTGGCATATCGAGAAAAATCTTATTGCTAAAGCAATGTCATATTTTTGTTCAAATGGGCAACGCTAGCATACCGCCTATTAGAATTTGATCAGTTCATGACACAGATAAAAACCATTCGACTGTCAATGGCATCTTACTTGGAACGTATCGGTATATCCACCTGGTCACGGGCAAATTTTGTTAGTAATCGGTACAACATTATGATGAATAACATTGCGAAATCATTAAAATCAATCTTAAGGCGACAATGAAATTTCTCTATAATCTCGTTGGTCAAAAATATTATGTCATTCATGCAACGATGGTTCTACGAAAAAAAGCGCATCTACCAAATGTAATACGACCGTGACACCAAAAATTAATGATGAATTGAGAAAATCATTCGACACCGGTGTAACCTTACCAATACAAAATTTGGTTGAACTCGTTTTTGAGGTAGGTGTAGATACTGAACTTTGTACTATCAACCTTATAGGTAACACATGTTCATGTCGAGAGTTTTAGATGCGACAAATTTCATGTTCACATGCATCCCGAGCTGCTTGCGCAAAAGGAAAATCATTGTATGACTTGTGCTCCCCTTACTACACCACAGAATGTTGGCGAACTACGTACAACGAAGTTCTTCACCCTGTTGGCCGAGAGTCAGATTGGGTTGTTCCTCAGTCTATTCGTTCCATCGAAGTTTTACCCTTGAATATACATAGAGCACCAAGTCAACCTCCTACTCAACGTCAATGGTCAAGAACTGAAATGTCGACTTTGACATGAAAATGCAGCCGATATGGGGGTTCTGGACATAACAGGCAAACATATCAGAATTCGACGCCTTTAAGTGACACGAATACTTGAATGACATTGTGTATTCCGATCGTTAAATGCCCTGATAACATGAATTATCAATTTTTTGAATATATTTTTGTGTATTACTTGCTTTCGATCTTAATTGTTCATCTCCTGTTTTGAATGTTGTTGAATATATTTTTGACTTTTATTTCTTCATGTTTCTTTCTTCTTTCTCTCTTTATAGTACTTATTTACAATTGCTTATTCTAAAATTAAGCTCGTAATACATTCTCAATCCTTTATATGGATTCATCCCATTTTTTGTGATTTGTCGTTCAAAATTTTATAGCGCACGAACAGAAAAATTCATATGGGCATTTCACCACATACAAACAATACTTAATTTTAGAATGTCGTAATGGATACAAACAAGAAAGCTCAGGTTTGGAGTGTAACTAAAAACAAGGGAAATGGTGATCACATATATTCATATGGCATTTCATTACGATATCATTTCGTTCATCATATAAGTGAACAATCATATATCTAATTTATCACTGAGATTTTCTTAATCATTGTAAACATAATGTGGTAATGGATACAAAAGTAACCCATGAATGACTCGTTCTCCTAAATTATTGGAGCTGACAAAATAGTAATCACAACAAAAGGAAGTCATAACTCCAATGCATGTCATAGCCGACTGTTATACAAAATGGTGATCACCCTAAAAAATATCCATCACCTATATGAATTTTATAGCACTAGTATATGTACGTAAATATTTCATTTACTATGATCGCATGTTCTACGTATCCTCCACCACGAACAAAGAGGACATATCACTTTCATATTCCTCGTTGGAGCTTATAATGATCACATCTTCATTTTCGACGGGAACTGCTTCAACATTTTCATCCAACAACACATAATGTGCTTCTGGTTGGACTTCTAGTGGAGAGGTCTCACGATGAACTTGAATTGGTTCAATTTCGTCGATTAGATTCGGAAAATGAATGGGTTGAAGGCAAACCCTACGATGGCAATTCGAAGGTTGACGAACATATGGAGCAAAGGCATTGCTTTCATCATCCAAGTCCGAGTCTATGATGATCGGGTTGTCCGTGGAGGACCCAGGGGGTCGAAAGTGATAGTAACATCAATATAAGGAGTATGTTGAGTTGATGAAGACATAATCAATGGAAGAACTAACTAGTACTATGAATTTGTTAAATTTTTGTCTGTGCATATTCAAGTAAAGTCCAGCCTTTTATAGTGCAGAAACACTTGTCTGTTAAATACATGAGAAGATATCTCACCAACTAATATGGTTGAAGTCATTCATGGTAATTATTTTATTACTTTTTTTCACATCAATATGGTTGAGTATTTACTTGTGCTTGGCATACCAATTTTAATTGCTATAGTAATTATAAACCTGATTGCTACAGTTTTTACAGTTAATGCTCCAATTGGTTGCCTTAACTTTTCATTAAAATTGGTTAGATCATATTTATCTTGACATTTGATGCCATTCTTGACACTTGGAATGTCGATATCGACATTAAATAGCTGTTAATCTTGACACATGACATTAGAGTTGTCTAGAACGACACTTGGACCAAAAGAGGAGATTTCTCTACATTTCAACAATTTCCTAACGTTTGATATGTCGTTATCGACATTACATAGCTGTGAATCTCGACGCTTAATATTTCATTTGTCTAGAATGACAGTTCGAGAACATATTACATACCACCATATAAGCCAAAATATGCAAACCACTGTGTAAACCAAAATACATATTATGTACCACCACATAAACCAAAATACATGTTACGTACCACCACATAAAGCAAAATAAATATTGCAAACCAGCATATAAACCAGAATATATAAACTACTTTGTAAACCAAAATACATGTTGCGCACCACGACATAAACCAAAATACACATTGCAAACCACCATATAAATCAAAATATGCGAACCTCTAAATTCAAATTAACCTGAAGTTCATATCCAATCATCATTATGTGCCGTCAACCAAAATACACAGCCTACACATCTCTCTTACCCCTCTTGCGCCCAGATCTGGTGTATGGCTTCTTTGTGTTCGCACTAGCCTTCTTCAGCCTCAACGATCGAGGTCTATGTGTAGGTGGATCAGTTGCCATCGAAAGTCCAATAACGACGCTATCATGAACCGGCTGATAATCAATGGACACACCAACTATAGGTACAATGGTTGGTGCCTCTTTCACAATATCACAAGCAACGTATACTGACCTAAGTGCTCCAACTCCACCTCTCGATGTTATGGACACATCAGGGATATTACAAACAACTGTTTCGGTTGCCTCTCCGACATTCTGTTTGTCCGTAGAAATATTGAGAGTGAAAACTTCACGTCAGGGCTCATCTCCACCACAATCATCATAACCAAATTCACCATACTAGTCAACAACATTGTGTACCCCAATTTCCATAGCAACTTCATCAAACCTACCTCGGATCATATTTATCTCATCAGTGACGTGATTTCTCAAACTGCACTCATGATATCCCAGTTCATTTTGGAGACTAGCAAATTTGGTACTCATCTCCTCTCTCAAATCGCCCAACTTGCTCTCAAATGCCTCCTGTTGTTCATTGAAGAGAGCTCTTATCTCATCTAAAGACACATGCCTTTCGATAATTGGAACCCCATGCTCTTCTTCTTCACCGTCAACGTGATGTAAATCTCGATGACGAAGTCCACATGTGTTGCCTCGTCGAGATTTATTTCGTACATGGTTGTTGTCATCGTTCCGTATAACATCATCTTCAATTGGACAATCTTATATTTCTATTGGTTGAGCAATGAGACCATCTAGAATGGGGTCAGCTACGTCTTCCAACGGAACTAGATCGACGATGCAGGGCTGCAATACTTCTACAGCAGTTGCGCGCAGCGTTACCCACAAGTTTACCTACAGGGGAAGGAAAAATAGGCGAGCTGAAATATCATATATTGCGAAAGTATGAGCATATTATGTACATAAATTGCTCACACATGTCTTTTCAAAAAAATCTGCATATGTTCTGGAATAGGGTTATTTCGTGCCAGACCACCGCAACATCCTCGAACATCGTCGCAAGTCTTGCTCGAGAATCGAGCTCCCAATTCTGGGATTGCCTCATACGCCCAAATCTGCATGACATTTATAACAGTAATAACCATGTTCGAAGATACGTAACAATGTGCAATGAAAAGAACTGAAATGAATACGGATACATGTATACCTGGACAGCGAGAGGGAATCCGTACAACGTGTAAGTCATCCTGTGACAATTGTTCACTTTTGCCATGTCCGTCTTTCTTCCCCATACACGTAGCAGTGATTTGATAAGAAGTTGAAAACATAATGTCCCCCATGGGTAGGCATTGAAGAAATCTAAGTTGTCAACGATGGAGAGAGTTGTCGGATGTATCCCTACATTTCGGTCTCGTGAATTGAATACCCCTTCAATAATTAGTGCCAACCCAAACTTGTAACGATCGTTACGAGTGCCACATTTCAAGAAAAATTTCTCCAGATTGCTACAAGTTATCCGGTCCATATTAGCAAACATTCTGTCCTGTATATGGGTTTTCTATAGGATTTTGTTAACTTCGGTACCTTTAGACACTTTACCGCACTTCAAGCCAGTGATTAATGTGAACTCAACAATCCAAATCGTGCGAACCTTTGGTTCACCTTGAACCAAATCTCAAACCTCTTTTTGCAAACCACCGTTCTGTTTACCATTTCATGAATTAATTGAGCGGATAGTTTCAGCTCCGATAACCTTGCCACATGTCCTATACAACTGTCCTCAAACATACGCTTTTGTTGTGGATCCAATTTGTTGAGGACAACTGATATATATTTTGTGCTGCTGACCTATGAGACATGGGCCTGGACACGTTCTTCTTCTGGAATGTTATATTGGTGTGACATAGTCATCTACAAATCAAAACCAATAAAAACAACACTTTTAACAAATAGTATGAGAACGTACAAACGAAATCAAATATATCATTCTTGTTTATAATGCAGTAAAAGAAAAATGATTTTTCACATATGGATAATACAACAAACAGTTAAGACTTAGCCTCGTCTAAGCATACATCATCAATGAAAGGGCTAATATTTAGCATAATCTAACGGCACATCGCTAATGAAATATGACCTATACTAATATGACTTTATACCAAGACCTCAATAACTTGATTTCTTTCAAGTAAAATAATTTTTGTCATCTTGTGAATAGTTTTATAATTATGACATGTTAGATCTTTAAAAATTCTGCACAGGCTCAATGTTTTGAAATTCAAGATTCTGCATTTTAAATGTAAGCAAAACTTTTATGCAGGTGGAATTTTATTTGTATTTTTACCCTAAACCACTCAAATAACGATATAAGAGATATATCTAGATATGAATTATTGAAAGATATTGCACTTTTTGGTCATAACTAATCCAATTAAGGATACATTGTACTAGAAAGAAATTGAAAGATGGATCCTCTCAAAGACTCCTAACCCTACAAGCATGTTCAACACTTGACAAAAGTGAGTCTTAGATATTCACTAGTGAACTCTTACATAGAGTATTCCCTGTTCCTCTAGATCATCAACTAACGAGGAACCCTTCTTAACCATAATATTGAGTTTCCCAAAGCACTGTCATGCTGCATGATTAAAAGGAAAACCTCATTACTTATATTCTTTATTACTATCTATATATTTATTGTTTATACTTTCAAAAATATCTAAAATGGTACATATTTCTTTATGTGTCCGAGATCTATAAAAAATCGTATGAATTGCAAAATTCCTCCTGACTTAACTTCATGGTCTCCTATTTAGGATGAATTTTCCACCTTGCATCCTATTGCATATAATAAAACTATTATCGAAAAAGATGATTCAAATATAAGAGACAAGAGTCCACAACTTTGTACAACATTAATATGCTAACATTACTTTCAAAATAAACCAATAAGATTTACTATGTTTTTTTGTGTTATCTATCCGTTTAAAAATGCCAGTAGTTTACCTGATTTATTTAAATAAATATAAAAAACAGCTTGGTTTAAAGAAGGCTAAAGTAGAATGTAATCATTTTGACTTGATCAATTTTCACTATATTTTCAAATCAAATCATTTACAATATTGGCGGAGCCAGAATATTTTATTTGTGTGGGCAAAAATTATATAGTAAAAAATTACAAATATTATAAAGGTGTACCACTACATTACTATAATTGTTCTTGAATAACATCCCACATAACATCAGTTTGATGGCTAATATCACTTTAACCCTGATTATTTCTTTCATGCTTAATATAATTTTGAACTTGGATATTTCCTTTCATCTTGAGCAACCACACTGACATTGCTAGATTTCTTTCTACCAATATTTTGACTTTCAATGGAAACTAAAGCTTTCACTTTCTAAAGTATCTCTCCATAACTGTTAACATTTAATCGAATATTATGTAAATAAAAAATTTCAATAAAATTTATAAATTTAACGTAGTTTTAATAAACAAGTCAAACACTTCCATCATCAAGTAAGATAGCCATTAAATAAATCACCTAATATCAATAGCACCAACTCAAGTTTATTAGAGATAGTCAATAGGCTTCCGCACTCTTCATATATGATAATGCAATAGGCTTCGACAAAAATTAGAAATCAATTTTTTATATAAAGTTTCCTTAAATCAAGATGAAAAGAGAACATTAACAAAGTAATTTGTGCACAAAAAAAGAAAATAATAATTAACGGCTATGGGTTTAAAATCCAAAATCAATGTCCAAGTCACTAAAATCACACCAACAAATTTCTCAATCCCAAAATCACAACTCCCAGAATAGAAATTATTATTGACAAGCTGTGGATATAAAATCCAAAATGAATATCAATTGAACCACAAATTTCATATGAAGAATTCAATAGCTTCTTCCCAATTGGAAAATTTTCGTCTGACATCATAGAATGGAGTTGCCTGAAGTATTTAGATTTAGGGTTTCTTCTCCAGTTGTACGTCAAAAATTTCAGGTAATATCCCACACCTTAATCTGCTAGGTGATCCAACTTACATGTTCTTTACATGAAGCTACGTATAAAAAAAAAAAAAAAAGGGTTCAGAAATTTAGGCGGGCCACCGACCACCCTTGCCCCTACGTGCCTCCGCCCCTGATATTTTACAATACAATGGTTTGATAAAGTATCATATCTAAACTAAGCTGTTTAATTATTCAAATTAAAACAAACCTCGGTTAATACCAAAACATTTTAAAATAGTTCATGTTATTGAAGCAAAAATAGAGAATGGGTAGTTCTAAAACCTTATACCTTGCACTGCACCAGGCCAATACAATCAGGAATTGCTTTCTTAAGCAGTAGCAAAAGCAAATGAAAGCACACATTACCTTCCAATGGACAAGTATCTCCTCTGAATTTCCATATTCAAGTATCAGAGTAGCCTCCACGTTATCAACACCATGTGGGGCCCCAGATACTCCAACCAAAGCACAAACTGTATAAGTGCAACCTGTAGAAACTCTCTCAGTAATTACTTGTTTCAATTCTTGCCAACTTTTTTCCCGATTAGTGGCAACAGCATAATGACCACTTAACTTGGTTGTTACTACTTCAGGATAAGCAGACTCTTCCGAAGTCACAAAAGCATGACAAGAATTGGGGTGCCAAGAATGTAGTCCTCCAGAAAAATCATGGTTAAGTATGATATTAGTGGAATGTATGCTGCTTGAACCCATTAACTCCTCCTTTAAGTTTTGAAGTTTGATTTATATATAGATACAAGTCCAAATTAAAACATGGCAAAAAGAAATTCAGGTTGCAGACTAAAATAGCTTATTGCAGAACTTTGCTTGTAATGCTAAATGTAATTGTCATTCTACAGGTAAAAATAGTTACTTTAAAAATATAATTATATAATAATAATAGCCAGAAAAATTATAGTTCCAGAAACAACAGAACGTCTAAAGGTCAAACTTAATCATGATATCTCACCAATTAGTGCACCAAAAATTTCAATTATTCTGCAATCCTTCACCATTTAATCTAAGACTTGACACTTTGCAACTGCAACAATGTTATGACTGAATTTAACATTTTGAAATTAAGACGTACAACTGTTGTTAGAACTATTTGTTGATTTGAGGATTCTGCTATGTAAAAACCAATTTGGCTCTGAAAGGGGGGGACAGAAATTTGTTATTGTGTTGTTTCCCTTATAAAGTTATTAGCTCCAAGTCCAACCATATCAGTGATGCACTTGGCCAGTGCAAAATACACCTCCAGGGTACAGTGAAACCTTTAGTACTCGAAGAACACAAGAAAGTACAAGCCTTGATATTTCTCGCTATTCACAAGTTCAGTTCTATATGATTAATATAAGACATTTAGATCACTAATTAAATCATCCTGTGGTCTTGATTTAAACATTTCAAAGTGTGAACTATCTGATTTTCTTTATAGTATCCTAACAAACATTAAGGGTGCATTTGATTGCCAATATTTCCATGAAAAATATTTTTTTCCACCCAAATTTTTACGTTTGTGTTGTTGGATTGACATTTTTTCCAAGAAAAATATTTCCCTACTTTTGATTACGTTACCGTATTTTCCTCAAAATTAAGGAAAATATTTTCTTTAGGAGAGTATGATTTTATTTTCCAGGGAATTCACTCTCTCTTTCTCTCTCTCATCTATCCACTCTCTCTTCTCTTTCCATCAATAAAAAATAGGCAAGTATAAAAATATATAAGTATAATATTTTTTAGACTGAAAATTAAATCAATCAAACGCATTTAATTGACAATTTTCATACAAATAAATTCTAGGCAATTGAATTACCTAGAATTTATTCTTTTTCCATGTAAATTTCATGTTTGCAACCAAACGCAACCCAAGCCATCATTCTCGCAAGTTTAGCACTTCCCAAACGTCCCCCTTCGTTCCTAAAAAAATGGTACCATTGATAGAAATCCTTAAATGAAAACTGAAAACTGCTGCAAAACCTCAGTTACGTACCTCAGAGTGAAAGCTATAACTAGAATTGCTACCGTCTCTTGATTCCAAGGTTCAATAGCACAACAGTAATAAGAACAAGTTATATATAAGAAATCTCAAATGAGTATTACAATATCTGAATCCCAAATGGAAATTACAAAAAATTTCAAGTACCTTTGAATGGGTTTCCATTTCTAAAGCAGTAATGCAAAAAAGGGCTCATTATATAGAGACTAACGCAGCTGGAAATTTTGAATTACATTTCTCCATTCAATTTTTTAATCTTCAACAAGTATATATAATATTATTTCTTCCTCTTATATCTGCAACTTGATCCTAACTTCCTCGTTATTTGATCTGCAATTCCTCTTGTACGGTGAAACTGCCGTCGAAATTGTTACATTTAACTATCAATTCTGACGTGGCAAAATGTGAATGGATTATTTTTTTCATTTTCCCATTTTTTTAATGATGTAGGCACCATGTGTTTTTCGTCAGGATTTCCCTATCAAAAAAATTCTTTAATTGTAGCATGATTGCTACTTTTTTTAAAACCATTTTACCAGATTATTTTACCGGAATGAGTTGATAAATTGTGATTGGATGGTTGAAAAATATTTTTTAACCAACTATCAATAAAATTCTATCAAGTGTTAATCTGGCGCAATTACGATACAATTAATATGGAAATTTTACCAATACATTGATGAGACTAGTTCTTCATTCAATTTTTTAATCTGCAACTAATGTGCGTAATATTATTTGTTCCACTTATATCTGCAACTTGCAACTTGGTCGAAACTTCCTCATTATTTTTTCAGCAATTCCTCTAGTACAGTGAATTGTTGCCAGAATCGTTACACAGCAGCATCTGTTTGGTCTACCTTTTGAATAAAGCTCCAAGTACAGAAAACATTTAAGTAACGATTCTGACGTGGCAAAATGTGATTGGACTGTTTTTAACTTTTTTCCCATCCTTTAATGATGTCAGCACCATGTGTTGTCCGTCTAGATTTTTGGTTAAAAAGTTATGTAATTGTAGCATTATTGCTACCTTTTTTTTTTTTTTCTTTTTTGCCATTTTTCCATATTATTTTACTGGAATGAGTTGTCAAATTGTGATTTGATGGTTGGAAAACATTTTTTGGCCCAACCATCAATAAAATTCTGCTAAGTGTTAATATGACACAATTCTAGTAAAATTAATTTGGAAATTTTACCAATACATAGATGAGAATATTTCTCCATTCGATTTTTTAATCTTCAACTAGTATGTATAATATTATTCTTCCTCTTATATCTGCAACTTGGTCCTAACTTCCTCATTATTTGTTCAGCAATTATTCTAGTACGGTCAAACTGCTGCCAGAATTATTACACTGCATCATCTATTTGGTCTACTTTTTGAATAAAGCTCCAACTACCAAAAAATAAATAAATAATTAAGTACTAATTCTGACGATGCAAAATATGATTGGACCTTTTTTTCTTTTTTCCCCACCTTTTAATGATTGGACTTTCTTTTTTCATTTTTTCCCATCTATTTTGTCCATCAGGATTTTCTATTAAAAAAATTCTATAATTGTAGCATGATTGCACCTTTTTTCTTTTTTTTTTTTGGCCATTTTACTATATTATTTTACCAGAATGAGATTGCTAGAATAAGTTAGCAAATTGTGATTGGATGGATGAAAAATATTTTTGGCCCAACTATCAATAAACTTTTGTCAAACGTCAATCTGATATAATTCTAGTAAAATTAATTTGAAAATTTTACCAGTACATAAATGAGACGGTTTTTCCGTCCAATTTTTTAATCTTCAACTAGTATGTATAATATTATTTCTTCCTCTTATATCTGCAACTTCGTCGTAACTTCCGCATTAGTTGTTCAGCAATTCCTCTCGTACAGTGAAATTGATGTCAGAATTGTTACAAGGAAGCATATGTTTGGTCTACCTTTTGAATAAAGTTTCAAGTACAAAAAAAATTAACTACCGATTCTGATGTGACAAAATATAATTGAATTGTTTTTTTCTTTTTCCCATCTTTTAACAATGTATGCATCATGTGTTCTCCAGATTTTCTATCAAAAATTTTGTAATTGTACCATGATTGCTACTTTTTTTTACCATTTTACCAGAATGAGTTCACAAATTGTGATTGGATGGTTGAAAAATGTTTTTGGCCCAACTATCAATAAGATTCTACCAAGTGTTAATCTGGCATGATTATGGTAAAATTAATCTTGAAATTTTACCAATACATTAATGAGACTGTTTCTTAATTCAATTTTTTTTAATCATTAACTAGTGTGCATAATATTATTTCTTCCACTTATATCTAAAACTTGCAACTTGGTCCTAACTTCCTTGTTACTTTTTCAACAATTCCTCTCGTATAGTGAGATTGCTATCAGAATTGTTACACATCAGCATCTATTAGGTCTACTTTTCAAATAAAGCTCCGAGTACTGAAAAAGTTTAAGTACCGATTCTGATGTCGCAAAATATAATTGGATTTTTTTTTCCCCATCATTCAATGATGTCGGTACCATGTATTGTCCATCAGAATTTTCTATCAAAAAATTAGCATGATTGCTCCTTTTTTCGCCATTTCACCGGAATGAGATTGCCAGAATGAGTTGGCAAATTGTGATTGGATGGATGAAAAATGTTTTTGGCCTGACTATCAATAAAATTCTGCCAAGTGTTAATCTGGCACAATTCTGATAAAATTAATCTGGAAATTTTACCAATACATAGACAAGGTTGTTTCTCCATTCAATTTTTTAATCTTCAACTAGTGTGTATAATATTATTTATTCTTTTATATCTCACAAATTGGTCCTAACTTCCTCATTATTTGTTCAGCGATTCCTCTCGTACGATGAAGCTGCTGTCGGAATTGTTACACAGCATCATTTATTTGGTCTAGCTTCTGAATAAAACACCAATTACAGAAAAAGTTTAAATAGCGATTCTGACGTGGCAAAATGTAATTGGACTATTTTTTCTTTCTTTTCCTATCTTTCAATGATGTCGGCGTCATGTGTTGTCACTTGCTCGTCATGATTTTCTGTCAAAAAATTCTGTAGTTGTAGCATGATTGCTACCTTTTTTTTTGCCATTTTACTAGATTATTCCACCAAAATGAGATTGCCAGAATGAGTTGGAAAATTGTATTGGATGGTTGAAAAATGTTTTTGGCCCAACCATCAATAAAATTCTACCAAGTGTTAATATGACACTATTCTAATAAAATTAATCTAGAAATTTTACCGATACCTAGATGAGACTTTTTTCTCCATTCAATTTTCAATCTTCAACTAGTATGTATAATATTATTTCTTCCTCTATTATCGGCAACTTTGTCCTAACTTCTTCATTATTTGTTTAGCAGTTCCTCTTGTACACCAGAATTGTTAAACAACAACATCCCTTTGGTCTACTTCTTGAATGAAGCACCAAGTATGGAAAAAAATTTAAGCATCGATACTGATATGGCAAAATGTGATTGGACTTTTTTTTTGCCCTTTTTCCCATCTTTCAATGATTCCCTACCATGTTTGTCTACAAGGATTTTTGGTTAAAAAATTCTATAATTGTAGCATGATTGCTACTTTATTTTTATTTTTTTTTTCCATTTTACCCGATTATTTTACCAGAATGAGTTGACAAATTGTGATTGGAAATTTGAAAATATTTTTGGCCCAACTATCAATAAAATTCTACCAAGTGTTAATTTGGCACAATTCTAATAAAATTAATCTAGTAATGTAACCTAACTCTTTTCCAATTGATAGCTACAAAGTGTTATCTTTTGAAATTCCGGCAACTCTTTTTCTGTACACATAGCAGTTTGTTATTTGTTTGTAAGTATTTCCCCGTGACGGTGACTATTTAAGTACTAATAGAATTAAGATATTTACTAATTACAAAATATAAGTTAAAAACTCGTTTATATGAACAAGTAGAAATTCTTGTAAATATGCTTTATAATTACTTTTTTAGAATGTAAATTTTGACAAAAATATGTTTAATCAGTAAAAAACAAAACCTACATTTGTATGTAATATGTGCATGTTGGGCAAAACTTAAATCATAATTTAAGTTTAGTAAACGTATGTTTATATATATATTTTATAAAATTTATAATTACTATATACTTATTCTCAACATATTTTACAAAACTTACTGTTTATAAATTTTTGAACACTTAAACATACTATCATAATATGATAAGCATATTTTGATATTCGTTTTAGTTTATATTTTATTACAAGAAAATTATTGACAAGACGAACTTGTTTTAGAATTGGAGCCTTGAGCTCCCCTTTTAGTGCAGAGTGTTTTAAAATATTAAGTTGGATTATCTAAATAGCATAGGGCTACGGGACCCCAGAAGATCGTTGGCTTGCACAGGCTATGATGGTAAGGCACAAATCTATGTTTTTTGTTAAAAAGGATTGAAACTTAAGAGTCAATAATATAATAAAATTTACATAATAATAAAATTTAGATCTATTTTCTCAACAAGTTCTCACTCGTGAAGTGTTTAATGTTCGATCAATTCATTACAAAGTGTACTTCTACTAGATTGGCCGTCTTTTTAAAGAGTAGAGACCACCTACAGTCCACTAAGGCTTTATGAAAGAAACAGTGTAAACAGAGATGGCACAAACCAACATATTTCATTACTATGAACTATCATAACCACATCATGTCAATAACTGAACACACTTTTTTATTCTTTATTATGAATTTTGCAAATAGAACCAACACATTCCCAAGTCACCAGTACATTATCTTCTTTCTTTCACCTCTAATAATATATATAGCAGTTCAAGCGTGATAATCAATTAATTATCGAAGCACAACTATAAATTGATAGAAACCGTGACTGGCTCCAACCCTGGATCAACGATGAATGTCTTCTTGGTCACTTTCTTTGAACGAGTAACAACTTCAACTTCATAAGATCCGTGAAATCCTCTAAACTCAAACTGACTTTGTTTGTCTATATGGCCCTGAGCAAGGGTCAACCACTCTTTCTTAAGATCAAGGTATCTTTTACCGGCTACATTAATATCCCCTTCAGCATTCACTAAATGTGCGTTATCTCGACTCATGAACAACTCCCAGAATCCCCACAACATCACGCCATCGACTGCAGGGTGGGCAAAAGCTTCCCGAAGCATGACTTCCAAATCATCAGCTCTAACATACTCATTGTTGGAAGACACATCAACTTCTGTGAACCATATTGGAAGTCCGAGAATTCCCAACTTATCAAGAGCAGAACAGACAATTGGCCCAACTGGACTGTCTATATGCCCCTGTATGCCTATTCCTCCGACAGGTGCTCCCTGTTCTTGGAGATCAAGAATGTGCTCAATGTACTTCTCTGGGGATGATCGTGAGTCACAACCATCCTCGATGTGGTAATCATTCACAAATAGGATGGCAGATGGATCCAGCTGATTAGCGATCTTGAACATATTTGCCCTGATATCTTTTCCCAAATGATCTTGATAGAATGAACCATGAAGCATTTCATTATTCACATCATAGTGCTTAAATTTTCCCTTGTAGCGTGTGAGTAGGCCCAATAGACGATTTTGAACAGCTGACATCAGATCATTTTTGTTCAAAGTGCGTATCCATGTCTGAACTGCAGACTCCACCTCCCAGAAGATACAATGACCCCTGACTTGAATGTTGTGGCATTCACAAAAGTTCAAGAGTTCATCGGCATCCTTGTAATTGAAGTTTCCCTGCTGCGCTTCTGTCCAATACCACTTCAATTCATTTCCGAAGACAGCCCAGTTGAAGTTTTTGGAGAAGAAATCAACAAAGTCTTCATTGTCAATGTTTGATCTACTCAGACATGATCCAAACGGGAAACTATTTTGCATTTGTCTAATTTTCACATACGTGCCAAGCAAAGTGGTTGAATCAGATGCGGAAAATTTCAAGATGACATTACGCTTGCGTATCTGCATAACAACATATACATTTAAAAATAAATAAAAATAAAGTAAAATCTTAAACAAATTACCATCGCGCCATTATAATGGAAACTTGATCCTTCTAAGTGTACCTTATCAGTTTCACTCTGTAAGTGTTTAAATCGCGCTTCTCTGTCAACCGGAAAGATTTGAAGTCCAGCAACCATCAAATCGACACCAGCATCAGGACCCTGGACATAAACCATTACCTTCGCTGGTTGCTTCTCAATTCTAAAAGATCCGCCAATTTCATGCCATCTGTCATCATTAATCTCTACTTGGCCACCATTTACCCATTGGCTGTCCACACCAAGAGCAACATTAATATTCTGAGGTCTAGTGGCACCGGTGCCAATCCGAACCCATGCAGACACTTGATATGTCAAATAGAGTTTCAATTTATCCGTTATAATCTGAGCGGGGGCCATCCACGTCTGAGTACGTTTGGTCACAAGTATGTAGCGACCACTTAATGGCGCATGACCAAGGGAATCTCGAGCCATGGGAGGAAGGATATGTGGAGAACCATTTCCAACGGAAAGAGTACAATTTCCAAGGGGAAACCAACCATTGGTGCCATCACTAAGGTTGCTGTTAGCAATAATATTAACACCAAATGCGGCATCCTGGAAAAATGAAAATTCATCACAATAGTTCATTACTTTTATTTCTCTGCAATTTGCACCCTAGCAAGTGTGTCGGGCACATAAAAGTACGTAGAAATTATTCAACTACCTTGATGACTGGTGGAGATGGAGGTGGGACTTTTGCAGCATGCTTCACAACTATATTATTAAGGAGAATATCAGTGCCCGGAGGTGGACCTTCTAAAAAAATTACTGCCCTTGAAGGGGAACCATTCAAGAGAAATTTTCCCTTCAACTGCACCCAATCTTTGTCTGTTGCCTGCAAACTACATAACCAGCCAGCTATCATGGAGCAAATGTGTTTGAAAATACTAATCCATGCCAAAAGAAGTAAAACAACATATTTACTTATTGGTTTTCGCTAAATGAAGGAAAGAAAGAAAAGAATATAAAAGTGAAACACGGACAAATAAATAAATCTATATATAGTTTGTCAGATCTCTATGAAGATGATCACCATCTAATGTGGAAACTTGGAAGAGTCGTCAAAACCTAACAATGGGACAATATAACAAAAAAACAGATGATAAAGTCTTGAGAAATATGCATTCTACAGTAAAAAATAATTGTGAAGATCAGAAGATTGTTTCAGATACTATCGTATAGAAGATCACAAGAAAGTTAAGTTTGGAGGAACTTTGAGTTTGGAAATTTTGTTCATATCTCAGAAGATAAAGTAAAAGTACGCCAAGAATAATTGGTGTAAACTGAAAGTATCCCATTGAAAGGGGAGACAGAAATTACCTAGCAATCCCTATGTACTGTTCGCGGAGATCTGCTGCCTGAACCCACAATGTAGCCCGAAGATCTGAACTAGTGACGTTATTACCATATATTCGAACTACAGCAACAACTTCATAAGCAATCTTCCGTTGAACTCTCCCCGTTATCTCCTGCTGCATTCCGTTCCAGTTCTGCGTGCGATCTGCTGTAGATGCAAAGAACTTTCCAGACATTGGAAGGATTTTGCCATCTGCCATAGAGTCGTGCAAGACAATCTTGCAACCTCTTCCAGACCAGTTTTGAAGGCCATCATCAAATTTTGGGTTCAGAATTATGTTCTCATCATCACAAATAGATCCCTTGCTTCGGCTCTATCAGGTGTTAAAGTCAAGACCACATTAGAAATCAACAGTGACGAGAGCAGAAAAGCTGAGAAGAGTGCGAGAGGAAATAAAACAAAAGAGCTAACAACTTTGATTTGTTGTGTCTCAGTCCAGAGCACGTGCTAAGCTTTAAAAAAAAAAGTAAGTCACTTTTAAGTAACTTTTTATCTACAAACATGTTAGGATAACTTCTACTTTTTTTACTTCCAAGCGGAAGATATTACATTTTTTTAAAGTTACTCTTACCTTATTGTCAAAGTTAAGGAATTATTTCCAATGACCTAAAAAAATATTTATTTTATAAGTTATTTACTTAAAAATAAACATTTTAAGCTTAGCCAAAATTGCTCTTGATGCACTTAGTGGTACTTATTCGCCGACAAAAGATAAGATACAGAGCTTTAATCCGTCTCCAAGTCTACATGCAAGAAGAAAAATGCACTTGAGATAAACTTACATCATATTCAGCCAAACTAGAGCAGGAAACCATTACTGATCTTATGAGTAGGTCAACGCCAGGGGAAGGTCCTTCTAGATAAAATACAACTCGATCAGGCATAGTTGACAGTGAAAATGTACCTTCCACTTTCTCCCAACGCTCCCTTGATGCAGAAATTCTGCAACAGGTCAATGCAATCAAGAACTAGTTTCTTAAGAAGTAGAAGAACCAAATGAAAGCAAGCTTTACCTTCCAATGAACAAATAAGTAACAGCTGAATCTCGGTATTCAAGTTTTAGAGTGGCTAGCACATCAGAAACACCATCGTGAGCCCCAGATACTGCCACCCAAGCACAAACTGTGTAAGTGGAACCCATGGAAACTCGGGTGGTAATGTCTTGTTCCAAGCCTTGCCAGCATTCACTCCGATTATTTACGACAGCATAGCGACCACTCAGCTTGGCAGGTATTACTTCAGAGTTACCAGACTCTTCGGAAATCACAAAAGCATCACAACAATTGGGGTGCCACAAATGTAGTCCTCCAGAGAAATCATTGTTGAGTATGATGTTAGTAGAAGCTCTGCTGCTTGAATCGTTTACCTCCTCATTCAAGTTCTGCCAGAAATACCAAAACATTGATTCATATAACTGATATGATCTGAAACAAAAAAATAGAAGGAGAAAAAAAATTCTGGATGGGACGATCTGCATACACTAGACCAGATTATAGCATAGCTTTGTTTGTGTTTCTACACCAAATCGCCATACTAAAGATAGCTTAGATACTTAAGAAATATAATTACACTACCAATAAAAATTACAGTTGCAGAAGAATGCAATGTCTAAATTCAAACTTCAACATCATGACATCTTATTATTAACCCCTCCTAAGCCCCAATCATATTGGAATCGTTCAACATCCCTATATACAATCAGTGGCCTCAACTGAACACTGTCATCACTATTATAATAAACATTTTTGAGATTAAAAGAATATATACTTCCTGACATAATCTCATGATTGACATTTTGCAGAGGCAACAATGATGTGATTGTTGGTTTCTCATTTTGTTAAGACATAAAAATGTTAAGCCCTTCTCCCAACTCTCCAAACACCACTTCCAAGAAAGTCAAATCGGAAACTCAAAAAAAGATAAAAAAGAGAACCACATTTTATCTGAAATATATGCTTGCTTGAATAGACTGTAGAAAGAGGGGGTAAAATAATGCAAGACTTGGTAACTCAATTACAAATGATACCACGAGTAACAAGAAATGTCCAATAACGGAAAACAACCAAATAATGAAGAAATTGGAGGCATCAAAGAACACAATATAAGAACACAAAAAGCTGCATAAAGAAAATCCCTTATTTACCTGGGGATGAAACACGTTGTTAGCATTGCTTGTAGATTGGTTCTCCATATTGTCTCCTGATTTCTACGTCCACCAGAAAAATATAAAATAATCATCTTAATCAAAGAAATCCCAGATGGGTATTACGATTTTCGTCTGATCATCATAAAATGTAGACGAAAATGGAATACTATTACTTTCAAGAAAGCAAGAACATTGTATACATCAAGAAAATACTTTAGTTCGGTACCTGTGACTGTGGGCTTTGCTTTGAAACTCGACCTGTGAAGCAGCAATTCAAGAATCGGCTCATTATATACAGACTCAAATAGGCTGGAAATTTGCAAGTGAAGTTTAAGAAACCCTCGGGGCCATCTTAACCCACTACCAACCAATCAAAATAATGTTTTTGAGCTGCCCCTCTTTCTTTAGACAATTACAAAACCCAACATCATATTTACATCATCCTGTTTCTTTTGATGATTATATGACATTCTTAAACTCAATATATTCTGGTCTACGATTTCTTCACCCTTTTCAAAATAATAATTGGGGCCCCGTATTGAGTACCGTTTATAGGATGGCTTCATTGATGCATTTTCTTTGGATTGCAGATTGGGGGTTGCCATTTGTATGCTTGAATTTGAAACAAGATATATAAGGGTTTTATAGTTTAGATACCTTTCTTTGTGCTTCTGTTCTGCCCTTCAATAAGAAGCCATGTCCCTATCTAAATTATTTCAAGGCAAAGATTGCCTTTCGTAGAGGTTATTTTTATTTCTCTGTATTTTTTAAGGTAATGCCATGGGTTGTTGAGATAATCAAACTTTCAACTTGATTAATATCAACTTTTTACTTTCATTTACTTATTTTTCACGTTTTAAAAATGGTCCGATTGTTAAAATTTACCATTTAAAACTTGAAAATATCTCAACTGTGTCTCCGATTAGAAAAAGAAAGTCGTTTATGAATCCACATTTTCTTCCTCGTTTTAAACATAAATTTGGAGTCTTGGACTAAAGTTTGTTATATTTTACGAGAAGGCAATGCAACTAAATATCATATATGTAACTTGATTCCATTTTTCATTTTGATGTGTTCTAGCGACATAACAATTCAACTTGATTTATGAAATCAACTATATTAATTATTGTAATATCAAATATTACATCTTTGTTAAGATGGTAAGGCCAAATGCTAGTGACATAATAGAGAAATTACATCTTAAATGAAAACTTTAAACAATTTTTTCGTAGTTCTCTTGTCCCTTCTCGTAATTGGATATATAAGGTGAACAAATATCAAAAAATATTTTTTCTTGTTCAACGAATTCCTTGATTTTTTAAGTTATAAATTGTTGACTCACAATGTGATAAGACAAAGATCAAATTTAAACAAGAAATTTTGATCAAATATACATATTTCTACTTCTATATATTGCATTATTCAATTCGATGATCTATGTTATTTACATTGTATGCACGCATATGTTGCATAGTTAGAAAATGGAAAACTTTTAAGCTCTGCCAAATATAATTGTGCTCCTCTATCTTAACAAAAGTTATTATTATAACTGAAAAACACACATTTTTTCAATAATTTTAAAATACTTTATAATTCTAAAGTTACATTTTTACTTCCTAGCTTGGTGCAGTTTTGTACATATTTGATGCCTAATCTTGTCTACTAAACAATACAACAAGAATATTCAACTTTGTTTATTTTTTAGATTGTCATTCGTGGAATGAGCTCATAAGCAAAAGTAAGATACTAAACAGCTTATAAGTCCAATTAAAAAGGGTATTTGGAGAAATGGTCCAAAACATTTGCCCTTTTTTGCATTTTTTGACCCAAACGTTTCAAATATTGTGCAAATGGTCTCGAACATCTGTATTTTTGGTGCAGATCGTCCTTTCACATGGAGTTCGTTAAAAAGTATAGTTAGTTTTGTGCCTGAAGTGCAATTGCCCTTAATTTGTATATATTTGAAGGACAATTTTGTCAAATGACTTCAAGTAAAATTAAGTAAAAAATAAATTATAATCATCTTCTTTTTTCCATCCACTCACCTGCCTCCCCTCCCCTCCCCTCCACTCATCCCATTCCATCCTCCTAACCAAGCTCCAAATTTGTCGACACAAAAACTAAAGGTCTCATCATCGTATCATTGTTTACCATAGTCATCCACAAACCAAGACAACAAATCTAACAAAAACAATGAATGACCAACAAGGAGAAATCTACATCTGAAATCTCCCCTTTGTACTACCATTAATGACACAAGGGATAAGGCAGAATCTTTGGATGCAATAAACTAAAATAAAAACCAATATGATGATGAAGAAGGTGCAATAGGCAAGTGAAGTAGGCGATGGTGGTGATGCATCTGTTGAGGGTGATTAAGGTAGGACATGAGGAATTGAACAGGCAAGATGGAGGAGATGATGGGAGAAGAATTTGAAGGATGATGATATTGATAATATCGATTTCAAGAAATTTTGTATTTCACCTCAAAACAATCCTATAGCAGCACTTTCCACACTAAAATTCCTAAAATTTCAAATCTTTAGAATTATTGTCATTTTTCTGCCAATAAAATGTCAAAAATCAAGTGGCGATTCTTTCCACTTGCCAAAAAAAGGGGTCCCCCATTTTTTGTTGGTGGAGGTGGGGATGGGACAATTTGCTCTACATTGAGAGGTCCGGACAAATAAAACAATAAGGGTCCGTTTGATTGCAATGATGGAATTTGAATGGAAAGAAAACGAATTCCAGATAATTGAATCCTAGAACTTGTTTTCCTGAAAATTGTCAATTAACGTATTTGATTGGTATAATTTTTCACCTTAAAAAATGTTGAAATTTTCTATCTTTTGGTGTTCGTTTAGCTTTAATTTTTATGAAAATTGTCAATTAAATGGACAAAATTTGTTAGAATTGAAGATAAAATTTGTTCCAATTCCAAAAAATAAAAAAGACATGCTGGAAGTGAGAATTGGTTTTTTACAAAACCATGGAAAATGGCACATGTGTAGAGGAAAGATGATAAACATTTTTTAGGTAAAATTCTTACAATCACACACACAAAAATGATGGGAAATGGACCAACCAAACGGGCCCACATCCGAAAATCCGTTTTCTACCTTATCTGTTTGATATGAAAGTGAAAATGGAGTTCCAATTCCAATGTACAAATATTTAAAGCATGTTTTTGACCAATTCCATGGAAATCGAATTCTTATAATTTTGATGATTTTTTCTTTTCCAACTTATATAGAATTGTTTGCATTTTCCACCATTGTCATTAAACAGGCCCCAAGGGCAAAGATTTGGAACCATTTGCGCTAATTTTAATTTAAATATAAAACACACATGAATTTATTCTTCCCAGTGTAATCCTACTAAAATAGAAATTTTTGGTTAGTTAGGCTATTTGAATTGGGGGAATTAGGCCAAATGACTCAGTTAGAGAATGAGTTTGGACAAATAGCCTTTGACCAACATTGAAATAGAATAAAAAATTTTAAAATGTTTTAATTGGTAAAATGACAAAGTTGTCATTCGATTTATATCAATTATTCACCCAACTTCTTTCATTTTACCTTCTTCTTTCTTTTTCACTTTCACTGTGAAACCCTATTCCCCAAATTTGAATTCCAAACCCGCCTTTTTCACCTTAATTTTACTATATTTCAATATTACGAAAAACTTTTTCTTTGATTCAACTTTATTTCACATTACTATATCTTTTCTTTAGTACAAGCTAGTACAACCAAAAAGGTAAATTTTTCTCCGATTTTTTTTTCTTTTTTGTTATTTTGAAATGTGATTTTTTGCTTCCATGACTGTAGTTTTATAATAAAATGTGTAAAAAAAAAAATTATTTTTTTTATGATTTCATGATTTATTTGTACATTTAGTTTAGTTTTAGTTGAGTTTTTTTTTTTTTTAAATGTGGATGGATTTCTGATATATTTGGGGTTTTGAAGATGACGGGTTAAAATAAAATCATTTATTAGCATTGCTATAAATTGAAAATTGTGATATGTAAATGTACTTGTTCTTTGATATGCCTTGAAACTTATAGAGTTGCATCATGAGAAATTTGATTTAAATAATTCAGTATTTTAGTAAAATTCTTCATATTATGCTTTAATGTAGTTCCTATTTTATGTGAGTCCTATTATTAAACTTTACACTTGTTGATTTCATAATTTTTTCATATTATGTTTTGCTATTTTTACTACAATACCCTTATTTGTAGATTAGAATTTGACCTACTAAAAATGTATATAAGTTGGCAATTTAAAAGGTTGTGTATCCCCTTGACTTTATTGAATCATTTTATTCTTTAGTTGCGTAAATGTTGTGTCATTATGCCTATATTGATTATTACTTGATTTGACTTTGATTTACCCGTTTTTCCAAGAAAGAGAACTAGCATTGAAATCGTTTAAAAGTGCAAACACACTAATTTTGGTTACGACGGATATGGCAACTCCTAACCTTGATATTCCCTATGTTGCTCATGTTATCAACAAAGCCACCAGTTGATTTGATAAGCCAATCAGGAGGTACCCATTGGCTAATTTGGTTTACAAGTCAAGCTTCATATAGAGGTAAAAGTAGATGTGGTGTGGACATTTTGGTGTTCATGATTTTAGAAGCGATAACTCTTATACTCGAAGTGGAGGAAACACATATTAGCACTAACACGACCAGTCCCGAATCACCCTAATAGATCCAACACGTGTCGTGCGCCGATAGTAGATACCAACGAAGTGCCAAACCCACCACCAAGGCAAACTTGACATGCTTTGACTGTTATAATTTTATGAAAATTTCGGCAGAGTTCCCCCTGAATTATGGACTAAAACCACCTAATATATATAATCCAATATCTCAAACAGATATGTATATATAGTTTAAAATAGGGTACACTGGCCCATAGAATATCAACTATTCAAATATAACACTGGCAATTTGACTTTTGCAACAATTTATAAACCACGGTACCCAAAATACATAATATATATACAAAACATAGCAGGCCCAACACATGGAACTAATTTCTGAACAAAAGAGGTGTCTATCCCAAAATATGAACTATTAAACTGAAAAGATGATTCATACAATGCTTGACAATCTATGGCTCAACTCGATAGATCAACTAGCAGTAGTGCTCAATTCAACTACTATCTGATACGAGAAATAGTGATAAAAATGTGAGCCTATAACTCAGTGAGTGGATATTTGTAAAAGTACACTTTTTCAATCATAAAATCTTTCTGAAAATCGACATATAGCATAAAATTTCTTTTCACAAACATATAAACTAAATTTTTTTTTTTTTACTGAATAAGCTGAATTCTGTAGCTTAAAATCTGATAAGCTGTGTAATACTGAAACATCACGCCAAAAATGTATCCGGAATAACCATACTCGTGTATCAATTAATCTCGATATACATAGCAAGGTTATTCAATTCTGAAATTCTGTAATTCTGGTCAAACGCGCGCAGAGCTATAAAATGGTCATACACTATGGAAACACATTCACAATAGTGCAGAGCGGGTAAAATCACTATACTAATCATACGTTGTGGAAACACATTCACACCAGCGTAGAGTAGGTAAAATAACCATATGAAGTCATATACTGTGAAAACA